CGCCGGAGAGGAGGAGGAGGAGGTCGCCGGAGAGGAGGAGGGTAGTATGGTGGAGGAGAGAAGGGAAGATGGAGTGGAGGAGAGGAGGAGAAGGAGTGGAGGAGAGGAGAGAAGGAGATGGAGTGGAGGAGAGGTGGAGTGGAGGAGAGGAGAGGAGGAGATGGAGTGGAGGAGAGGTGGAGTGAAGGAGGTGTGCCCAACCATATATATGACATATTAATGGCGCACCGTGGGCAGATGCGCCATTACAAACTTTTTTTTATTTTTTTTGATTTATTTTAAATTTTGAAGGCAGGAATATACTAATGACGCACCATGCCACGGTGCGCCATTAGTAACTTTTTTTTATTTTTTTGACTTATTTTGAGTTTTGAAGGCGGGAAGATACTAATGGCGCACCGTGGGCAGGTGCGCCATTAATAACTTTTTTTTTATTTTTTGACTTATTTTGAATTTTGAAGGTGGGAAGATACTAATGGCGCACCATGGTGTTTGAATTTTTTTAAATTTTTTTGCCTCTCCAGATCTTAAAAGCCTCGTATCTTTTTTTGTTAGGTTTTTGAGGATTTTGAAAATGTTTAACGGGGTTTCCCCAAATTCGGATGTAACTTTTCGAGTAGATGATTTTTAATATAAAAAACTTTTTCATCTGAGTTAGTATGAAAAAGTTATGCCCATTTTTACAAATTCTCGAAAGATTTTGCAAATGAAGTCGAAATTCATATTTATAATTTTTCCAACAACTAGACCACATATCACATGGAAAACTTATTTTCTTTTATTTTTTTAACATTTTCATTATTTTCTTTTATTTTTTTTTAAAACTGAAAAGACGATCCACTGAGGGGTGCATTCGGTGAAAGTGGTGGCCAAGTTACTAATGGCGCAACGTAGCATGGTGCGCCATTACTAGTTAGTAATGACGCACCACTCCCACGGTGCGCCATTAGTAGTTTTGACAAAAATTTTAAAAAATTTAATTTTTTTTTACTAATGGCGCACCGTGGATGTGGTGCGCCATTACTTGAACTAGTAATGGCGCACTCCCACGATGCGCCATTAGTAGTTTTGAAAAAAAAATTAATCACTTTCAATATGTATTTAGATGAGACTTAGAGTCATCCAGATCGGTGTCAAAGCTTGCATTGACGTAACTCTACGACGAACTCTTTGTCACCTCCATAACCAAGAAACATTTCCTTATTCCATTAAGGATATTTTTGACCATTGTCCAGTGATCCACTCCTGGATCACTATTGTACCCTATTGCCAAACTTATGGTGAGGTACACAATAAGTCTGGTACACATCATAACATACTTTATAGAACCTATGACTGAGGCATAGAGAATGACTTTTCATTCTTTTTCTATTTTCTGCCGTAGTCGGGTTTTGAGTTTTTACTCAACTTCACACCTTGCAACACAGGCAAGAACTTTTTCTTTGACTGTTCCATTTTGAACTATTTCAAAATCTTGTCAAGGTATGTACTTATTGAAAATATATCAAGCGTCTTGATCTATCTTTATAGATCTTGATGCTCAATATGTAAGTAGCTTCACCGAGATCTTTCTTTGAAAAACTTATTTCAAACACTCCTTTATGCTTTTCAGAAAATTTTACATTATTTCCGATTAACAATATGTCATTCACATATGCTTATCAGAAATGTTGTAGTGCTCCCACTCACTTTCTTGTAAATACAGGCTTCACCGCAAGTCTGTATAAAACCATATGCTTTGATCACTTTAACAAAGCATATATTTCAACTCTGAAATGCTTGCACCAGTCCATAGATGGATCGCTGGAGCTTGCTCCCTTTGTTAGTACCTTTCGGATCGACAAAACCTTCTGGTTGCATCATATACAACTATTCTTTAAGAAATCCATTAAAAAGTGCAGTTTTGACATCCATTTGCCAGATTTCATAAAATGCGGCAAGAGGGCCTGTCATGTGAGGGTGGCTGACATTCTCTCCCTCGCTAACCTATCCCCGTGTAAGCCCGGACATAAAAACCGACGTCCTAAGACCAAACCCAAAAAGACCGAGACCGAACCCGCCAAGACCGAACTAAAACCAGTCGTCAAAACTAAAAAACCAAATTAAATCTGGCCGAATCGCTCTTCTTATTTGGATGACCGAAAAACCAAGATAGATCGAATCAGCATAATTCTCTAGAAGTTTGTGGCACAATTAACACAATCCCTGGTCTCCTCTGGATGTTTATCGCACAATTTTGGTTGAATACACACATGCTGTTTCAACTATGAATTGAATTTGAGTTAGTAGTATGAAATTTGGTCTGTTTCTTCGGAACCGAACACTATCCTGTAAAGACCGGAATGGTGGAGAACTGATTGACCAAAAAGACCGAACAAAAGAACCGAGAAGACCGAATTCTTCCCCACCCACTTGTCTCTCCCCCAGTAGTCGGCCGCACCCCGGCCACCTCGCAGGCTCACGCCGGCGTGCCCCCCCGCCGCCAATCACCTTCTGCGCCGCCTCCCACCTCGCGCGAGCGCCGCATCCACCTCCCTCCCCCCCCGCGTGCGCCGCCGCCTTCAACCTCCCCCGCGCACCTGGTGCCGCACCCTCCCGCAGGCCTGGCTCGTGTAGATATTTTTTTTTGCTGTTCACTCATCTGATCAGGCCATGAGATTGCTGTCCTATACTGTTCAATTGCTGTCATGTTATTATGGTGCTATGAAGTGCAGTGATGCAAATGATAATATCTACGAAAAGGGGACCTGTTATGCTGAATGCAACATTACATTGCTTGATATGATGGGGTTTCTCATCCTGTTTTTGCTGACTGGAGTGCTATAGCACTATTGTGTAACACGGCTATTTCTGCTTGTGATTTGTACACCTAACATGTGTTAATGGTATTGCTAGAAGCTTCTATAGTGATGAATTAATACTACTAGTCCAGTTGCTTTTATAGCTGGGGGTTATTATATTTGGTTTCGTGTACATGTTATCAGCATTTCAGTTGGGGTCACACATTTGGTTCAAATAATTTAGTGACTTCTAACTCACTGATGTAGTGATGTTACACATGTTTCAGAGGTAGTATAGGTTCTAATAATAATTGCTTGAAAAGATAATCTGTTTGTTAGTATTTCTTTTGTTTCCCGACTGAGCAGTTGATTAGAAGACATATTTTGATTTTGCAGAGTCATCAGTGCCCGGTAAAGTTGAGTTCGTCAGTACTGCATTTCAAATCTAAATGTTTATATAGTTTGGGGTGTAGCCAGAATTTCAGATGGTCTAAGTACTAGGGACCTTGCTCAAATTAGATTATGAGGTAAACTTGCGCTTTAAAGTCTGAGGTTAAATTGTATGCTTTAATATCTGAGGGCCACTTGTTATGAGCTATTTCAACTGACTTCAATGGCCTATTCAGCTTGTAGCTAGCAATGCTCAACTATGCTCTTATACTATTAGAATAGAACACAAATGCTTAGTAAGTGGATTGTGGATATCATACTCTTGGAAAGGTGCAATAGTTCCCCCACATTTTCAGGATCAAGTGGTTAGGTATGATAGGAAGGTAGCATGTTTGCTTCTTGAATGTTTTTTTTGACTGAGGTGCGATTTTTTGGGATATGTGCACCTCTGTGCCTATATACGTAATTCATCTTATATCATGGGAACACCTGTTATAAATTGGTTATAAATCACATTCTATTTTTTGCAGCCAGCAAAATTTAAAGCATTTATTGATCTTGTAAACAATACTCCACTACATGACATTGCCATACCAGTATCAGGCTTCTGTTGGGAGTTCAATAAGGGGACAGTTTTACTTCTTCTGAATTTGATTTCCATTATGTTTACACTTATTTTCATTACCCGCTTACTGTTAACAATTGGTTGCAGGGAATTTTTCACCATTGGAAGCCTCTGTTTATGCATTTTGATACATATTTTAAGACATGCATCTCTTCTAGTAAGGATCTTCTCTTGTCTGATGATATGACTGAGTGTGAACCGTTGATGCAAATTTTGAGAGTTACGCAAATTGTGTTGGAAGATTGCCAGAACAAAACATCTTTCGCTGGCCTTGAGGTAAGCTGGTGTTCTTTTTATGTGCTTTTGAACTCTTTACTAATGTCCCAAAGATGGGAATTTCAGACCCTTGGTTTTATTCCACTTAAACTAATCATTGTCCTCTACTCCTTTTATCAGCATTTTAAGAATCTGCATGCATCATCAGATCCTGAAGTACTTGTTGCGGCTTTGGAAACTCCTGCTTCAGTGGTGAAAATAAATCCTTCAAAATTACATATCAATGGAAAACTATCAACAGTGGAGCTATAAGCAGCTCTTCAATCATTGTCCCAAGGATGGGGTAGCAAGGAGGAAGGTCTAGGCTTGTATTCGCGTGTTGTGGGAAATGACCGAAATCAGCTGGAGGGTTTGTGTTTATTCCCAGCAGCCATGGAGAACAAATATGATGGCACACAAAATCGTCTTGAGTCCACTCTTCATTTTGAGTATAATTTGGCACCCGTCCAAGATTCTGACCAGACCAATGAGAAGAACAAGTCATCTAATCTTTGTGTGATATATATCCCAGACCTGCACCTTCAGAAGGAGGATGACTTGGGCATATTGAAGCAATGTATTGACAAGTTAATGTGCCTCTAGAGCACTGGTTTGCTTTGTATACAAGGATAAGATATGCACATGCTTTTAATTCCTCGAGGACATGCAGGCTATATGGACGTATAAGTCTTCTTTCTTCCATTGTTCTTGTGCAATCCAGTGATGCCCGTGACGAACTAACTCGTTCTTGACAAATGAGCCAGAGTACACAAATGAGTTAATCCGGCTTGTTCGGTCAGAAGATAATGTTCCTTGGTCCATCCGTGCATTGGCTAAGCTTGTACTGGGAGCACAGTTAGCAGCATATGTAACATCTCATGAGTGAGCTGGGATACTTGAGTGAATTAAGTATCATCTCTGCTGGTGGAAACCGCATGGTCTTGCTCAGTGTTGTGCAGAAAGCAGCATCTTCCCTCAGTAGCCCTAGTGATACTTCATCTCCGTCAGTTGTTGATGCCTTTTTGCAGTTCTTTTTGCTTCATGCGCTGTCATCTTCGAGTTCTGGGACCACCGTCAGGGGTTCAGGAATGTCCCTCTCTCCTGCAAGATAAGGATCCTTCTCACATGCATCTTGTCAGTTTGGCAGTAAAGACCCTTCAGAAGCTGATGGACTACAGCAGACCTGCTGTTTCCCTGTTTAAAGATTTGGGTGGTGTAGAGCTTTTGTCTCAGAGGTTACACGTGGAGGTGCAGCGTGTTGTTGGTGTTGCTGACAGTCTTACTTCAGTGATTGCTAGTGATACATTGAAATTGGAAGATGACCATTTCTACTCACAGAAGCTGCCGATTAAGGCTTTGCTCAAGGCATTAGGTTCTGCTACATATTCTCCTGCAAATCCTGCTTGCTTTCAAAGTTCCAATGATAACTCTTTGCCCATGTCACTTTCCTTTATATTCCAGAATGTTGGCAAGTTTGCTGGTGATATTTACATCTCGTCAGTTACTGTTACGAGTGAGATAATACATAAGGATCTACATGCTTTCCTGCTTTGAAGGAACTTGATCTTCCTGATGCTTCCTGTCATCAGTGACTGCTGGGTTATGCCATCTTGTAGCTCTTATATGTGTACCCAAAGAGCAAGGAAGACAGTGAGAGGTGAGTAGGATGCACTTTGTCTATTGCACTGTTTATGTTGCCTCTAGTAGGATTATATTTATGGTAGAAACTAATTTATACGTGTGCCTGCGTTGGTTGTTTCAGAGACGAGTTCTTGAGACAGATGCTTGAAATGAATGCAAGGACAAGTATGTGTTCTTTTATTGTTTCCCTGCGATGATTACATGTTATTCCCTGTATATGCAATCAGCTGTGGCTGGGATGCATCTTTTGTGTACTTTTGTACAGTATAAAAGACCATTGCTGTTGCTGGGTCTATGTCTTCAAACTACCGTGATGGCTCGAATAGGAATATATGTGGATCTTAAAATTACAGTGATACATGAAGTGAGGAACTCTAAAATATTCTTTAACACATAAACCTGCAGTAAGGGCAATCATGTGATGTTTGTCATGTTTTAATCTTTGACAGTATTATTAAGATGCCTTTCGACAACCGTATAAAGATGGCGAACAACTGGTGTCGAGGAAGTTATGTTTAATTCTGAAAAATAGTCTAACAGAGCCACTTTTCTACCTTTTCTTGTTTATGCCCATTTGGTATACTTTCTTTGCCTGCCAGCTGAAACTTAGATCAGAACTTTCTTGTTTGACAACTATCTTGAGCTAAACTATACTCCTCCACAGTGTCGGGTCCGAAGCGCTGCCTTGGTGACATGATCGCAGTGGCCGACGTGGCTATGGCGGAGCTCGAGGCCACAAAGCGCGTGCGGGAGGTAGTGGAGACGGAGCTGCATGGGGGCTAGGTGCAGGCCTCCATCCCAGCTGCGTCAATACAGGCACTCGAGGTCTCTCCTCATCTTTCTGGCCCCGAATTGGTGAATCATATTCATATCTCCATTTAGTGCCAGTTCGCCTGATTTGGTTCAACCTTGACATATTTTTGTGCTGTGTTTAGGCGACGATCTCGCATCTCCAGTAGGAGATCAGTAAGGTGGGCACTGATCTGGAGCTGCTTTAAGGTCAGAAACTTTGGAAGTCAGAATCAATTTAGGCTCCTGGTCTATTACTTAAATATGACGTGCTTGTCTTTATGATTGGAATTGGAACTGGCGGGTTGCGCTTCTGGTACTTGATGTAATGTCTCCAAAGATCAAGGAAGACAGTGAGAGGTGAGTACTTAGGATGAACGTTATCTACTGCACCGTTTCTATTGTGCTTTAGTAGGATCATGTTTATGGTAGCAACTAGTTTATACAGACATGGTTATCATGGTAAATTGCTGAACAGAGATGGGATTTTTAACTAGTGATGGTGGGACAAGAACATTTCGTAGAATGAACAGATTAGTAGAAGTATGAATAAAGGAGTTGCCAATGCAAGAAACTGGAACAGAGGAACCACTGGCAATGGTGATACATGGAAGATGAGAAGGCATATGACAACATATCAGGGCTGCCAGACATATGTGCCGAAGCACGTGAGTTGGAGATCAGCCAGCTCCAATGCCCTGTCTGGTGTAGTTCATGGCAGCAAGAAAAGCCACCTGGTTCTAGCTTGGTGCAGTCGTACATGTCGGAACAGACGGTGGAGTTGGTGCAGCTGGTGGCGGTGCAGGCTGGTAAAACACCGCAAAGTCAGTTGGTGGAAGGCTGGTGCCAGGGGCGCGGACGTGGTGTATGCCTGTGGTGGCGGTTATGGACCCAGAAGACCAGGTGCTCCAGTATGCCTGCACGACACCGGTCCACGGATCAGCTGATGGTGGTCGCCACGACAGAGTGGCTGGAGGTGTTGAACTGCCCTTGGTGCGCTGGAGGATGGAGCCGAGGAAGCAATTATGTCTAATTTTTCAAAATAGTACTATAACAGAATCACTTTTCTACCTGTTCTTGTTTATGCCCATTTGGTATATTTTCTTTGCCTGCTAGCTCGAACTTATATCAGAAGCTTCTTGTTTGCTAATTATCCTGAGATAAATCATCTGCAGGCATTCTCAACAGAAGGCTTCTGTAGACTTAGCAAAGAGGTGCTCCGGATCGCCATCAGCAGATGGTATGCAAGCCAAGTCAGTAGAAGGTAAGCAAGAGCATACATAACATTTCCTGTTCCTGAATCCCTTAAGGCCTTGTTCGGTTACGTGCGAATCCGAGTGGATTGAAGGGGTTTGAGGGGGATTTAAACCTTCTGCTGCGCTCCACGTTAGTCTCTCCATCGCTGGTGCGCTCTTCTTGTTTTCGCATAGAGACACCGGCCTGGTGTCGAAGGGCCGAACTAGGTCCCTGAGTTCTCCCACTGTCGGGGTCGACCCCAAACCCGACAGTTCCAAACCAAGATCCTCATCGTGCCCGGCGGGCCTGCTCCTCATGTTAAGTTTGCAGTGTCACTCCCCCTTCAACAGTGTAAATTAGTTCATCACATGGTTCCAGTCCCCTTCCGAAGATAGTTGAACTGTAAATTTGTTACCTCCTAGATTACTGAATGATGCAGGGTTGTGCAGAGTAGCCGCGTAGCCAACACAGCAGCATGGTTGGAGACTTGGGGTGGAGCCAGGAAGAGGCAGCGGTGCTACCGCCAAACGTACCAGAGGAGACGCTGATTGCACATGGAGGCCAAGGATAGTGATAGACAGGGCAAAAAACTTGACCATTTTTCAGCGTGTAAAGGGCTGGAGCCCCATTTAAATCCAGCCAGCGCGACACGCGCTGTAGGGCGACTTGAACCAGTGCGGCAAGCACTGTAGTGCATACTTTTGAATGAAACGCTTCCGTTTACCTTGTCGGTAATTTTAACATTTTCCATTTGAAGAAAAAAAATCATTTTTTGTTTGTTTTTCCTTTTTTAAATAGTAAAGAAACCTTTTTAATGCGTGTTACCATTTACTAATAGTTGCCTATTTTCCTAGTGCTATATCATACTATATAGGAGTAATTACTTGCCTGTTTTTCGTTTTTGCATGAATAATTGGCGGTAGTACGTGTAGGACTTGCCGCCCGGTTACGACCGTTTCTATCGGATCTCGCGTGGTCCTAATTAGTAGATAGTAAAATCGACGGCGCGATCGGCGGGCAAGTTGCTAATATTGGACGGAACGGCAGCAACCCACGCACGCGGCCACCCGCTCCGTCCTATTTGTACGCGCATCTTCTCGCCCACCTCTCCCTTCTTCCTCGCAGCAAAGCCTCCAGCTTTTTTCTCCCTCCACGCACACACGAACAAAGCTCCCCCGATAGAACCAGAAACTCGCCGCGCTCCTTCGATGTAGAAGAACAAACGGAGGCCGCGCCCGACCGGCGCCGCGCCATGGGCCATCCGAGGGCGGTGCGGCCGTCCGGATCCATGGCTCAAGGCGAGCCATCCGGCTGCCGCCCCCGCCCGGACCCGAACTGGCGGCACCGACCCTGCTGCCTGGACCAGCAGCCCTCCGGCGCGGAACCCAGACCGCACCGTACCGGCAGGGAAAGAAATCGCAGCGGCCGCACCTGACCGCACCTCGGCTCGGCCGGACCGGTCCGCGGGTGCCCCGCCCCACCGATTGGCGCCGCGGACGCTCGCTTCTCGCCGCGCCGGCTATAAAATGCCAGGCGGGGGGCGTGCGTGTTCTTCGGAACGGGACCGAAAATTCCATCATCGCAGTCTCAAGGTGATTCCCCATTCCTTCTCCTCTTCCTCCTCCCTCATCGTCTTCCTCTAACCGCCGGGTCGAACGCGTTGCCTTGTCTGTCCGCAGGTGAGATCGACGCAACTACGTCTCGTTCCCCCCGCAGCCGAGGCGCACGCGAGCGCAGGTGAAGCCCCGCCCCAGGCGCAGCCATGACCGGAGGAGGCGTCGCCCCCCACCGCGCACGCCGCGTCAAGCCCCGCCGCCGCCCTGTGACCGACCGCGAGCGAGGCATCGACGTGGTACGGACTCCCCTTCCCCTCCCCCCTCCCCCTGCCCCGCGCGCGTTGTTCCCCTGCTGCATGCTGTACTTGTTATTTATTTGGTTCGTATTTAATTTTACCCTGCTATATATTTAGCCCATGAATTTGCATCTCCTGTAGAGTAGATTGGGGGCAGACATTGATTTTACCTGCTGTGTACTCTACATGTTTTACTTAGCCCGTGGATCGTTCCTGTTTTCATTATTCTAAGACTTTGGTGAAATACATTGGGTGTGTAGCAATTATACGATTTATTACCTGGTTGTTGTGCCTATAAACTTACCTGCAATGACATGGGATTGCTTGAAGCTTTATTGTAACACCGATTAATGGTTCACTGCACTATCCATGTCTAACGATCAAAAAACAATTTCAGCTTTGTACTGATATATTTCAGTTTTGTAATCTATATAGGCTCATTATTCATTTCGAAATATAATCAAGTTAGAACATCATTTGTGTCTCCTTTCTGTCACTTGCGTAAATTATAATGGAAATGTCGCTACCATATAATGAAAGTTTAGCTTGTCCAGAACACGGGTTTTGTACTTGGCCGCTTGATTGTTTTTCCCTGACAAACTAGCGCTAATGATGTTATCTGTTCTAGCTGTCCCATCCGTGTCTGATGGAAATCCTATTGTATTACCGAGTATTTGTGTGCGTACACAATCTCTTAAATATTATCTTATTGTTCCAGATCCTTTAATAGATTGTTAATTACTTGCTTTTATCTTTCAATGCTTCTGAACTTAGATGACCACAACAGCAAGTGTAGGAACAGTAACGATATGCTCAATGTTTATATTCCCCATAGTTTTGTGGATATGCAAATGTTACTGAATTGCCCATTTTTGTTTTTTTTTATTTATGTCTGTGCTTTCTAATATCGGTTCTCCTTTCAAAATATGTGTTGGTTCAATCTGCTTATCTCCCTTTGTTTCCTTATTAGGCCTGTCGCAATGGTCTGTTCGCTATGCCGCATGGTCTTGCTGACCCCAATCCAATCGTTGAGGGTCTTCGGCTACAGTCTCTGGTGGTCTACAATTCAGTTGCGGAGCTAATGAACGTGAAGCAGCAGAACTACGGAGAAGACCTGGTTGCATCATATGGGGCGGAGCGCTTGAAGCTGGAGCGAGAGCTTTGTAAACTCAACAAGATCATGAACCGTCTGAGGCTGATCGGTTTCAAAATAAGGGAGTACATCATGAAGGTTGAGCTGGGAAGGCCCCTCAATGAGCCAAGAGATTGGAACAGGCAGTAGGAACGCCAGCAGATGCTATCTTCAGTAAAGTCTGAATGGGTAGCGAGAACAGAGAATTACTTGATGACATAGCTGCTATCTTCACTAGTCTAAATCTAAATGGATGGGTAGTAAGAACAGAGTTACTGCTATCTTTACTTTGCTCTCTTGGAACTAGGTTTTATATCTATACTATGCCTGTCTGGAACCACTATATCTGTACTTAAGTGTTTGTCTGGAACTACTATATCTGTACTTAAATGCTCAATAGTTGCTACTATCTGGAATCACTCTTCTTCACTGTAGGGTTTATTAATTGCAGAGACCCTTAGAAAATCTGTTTGCTGGATGAAATAGTTGGGGAACCATTTAATAAGCACTGAAATAGTATACTCCTGAACATGTTGTGACCCTAGTTTTACATTGTGTATGATTTATTGCAAACAGCATGAGGTATACTCCTGTAGGTTTTGCGTTCTGAAATTATTGTAGCTGCTTGATCAGAGGTACCTTTCTGGAAAAGTCTATTTTAAAACTTGAACTTGTAGAGCTTAGTTAAATCTAACCCCCAACTCTGAATCCTGGTCATTGGCACCTTCAACTTATTATCAATCCTGGTCCAAATCGAGCCCTGGAGCTGAGATA